TCCTCTCTCCCTCTCTCTCACTCTTTCATACATCTATTCATTCACACACTCGGAAAAGCGAGAACTGAGTTCTTTATAAAAGAAATAAAACAAACAGCCGGAGGAAAACACCTGGAACTCTGATTATTCCTGGTTTCATTGACGGTTCTCAGTCCAATGACGTTAGCGCTCCCTCTAAAGGCTTTAAAGTGAATTTTAAAAACTCCCGTTATGAGTTTATAAGAGTATGTGTCCAAACAACTTCAAGGAACCGCTAGAAGTCTTAGTGAGCCAAGAAGCGGAGACAAAGTTGAACTCACACAGCTGTGTTCAGTAAATATGTGTTTGTGTGAAACCATTATCTTAAAAGGAGGAACTTTTACAAGTGGAAACCCCAGCTTTTCTACCCACTCATTAAGATGTCAAGTGAAATATACCTGTTAAATCTCGACCATTTGCTTAGTCCCTAATCTGTGAGAGGTCGGTCTTAAATCCAGAAGAAGTGTTGATGGGCCCATGGTGGATAAAAAAAACCAAACAAAAGTTTTCTCACTGCACCTGAACAAAATGTCCAAGCCTTTGTTTAAAGGTTAATCTGAAACCATATTTAGTTTAGTTTAGATGAGAAGCGACAACTGTTTGAGACCTTTCACTGTATATGTCATGGTTGGCTGAAAATTGCATTGCTGTTGTTTGGCACAGAATGTAAGCGATAAACTTATTAATAATAATAAAATAAAAAAAACACCAAACAATATAATTATGAAAAAAAAACCTTCTATTGTGAAAATGTCAGAAGTGAAACTGATTCCATTAAATAACTGTTTGCATCTCCAGCTTCAAAGATGACACTGTGATTTATGTTGGACCACAACAAAAGGAGGGAGGAACATCCGTGGCCTCCAAACACGGCAACTCAGAGAGAACTGTAAATCTAAATCTGAGTAAGGGTCTTGTCTTCAAGCATGTTGAATGTGCCAGCCATGTGTCTTCTCTCTCTCTCTCTCTCTCTCTCTCTGTGTGTGTGTGTCTCTCTGCTCTGTCTCATTCAACCCCTTTCCAGTTTTTTCTCTATACCTTTAGTAAATCCCGGGACTTAAAGCAGTAGCTTTAATTTGACATAGTGAAATTGTTTCACCAAGTACTATATGACAAGGCTAATCTTAGTGTCAGTTTCCATCTGTGCCGTGCTGTTTGTCAGCCTCGGTGTCAGAGAGTCCTTCTCCGAGATCGTTTTTTTTTTTTTTACTGCAGACGGCTGGAGACCGCGGTTCAGAGAGACTTTGGCTCATGAAATATGAGAATCTTTGGGCACGAGAGGATTATTCCAGACCTCTCCACTTAAACCCTCCTAACAGTGTTCACTGCTTGGATGAAAGGCTTTCATCAAACATACTTGACAAGAAGCATTAAAACAGGATAACTCCCCTCCATCACTGTCACCTCGCTGTGTAAATGCTGAGTACGGTCATGTCTGATTGGCTCTGGAGATTTATATAATGTGGCTGTCGAACAATTACAAAGGATTAGTCACGACTCATCACAGTTAGAGAGGCAACTTGGTGGTGTCTCAATGAGTTGATGGATTTGAGTCATGAGGACGTAGCCATGGTTAGTGTCGAAGCAGAGCAGAGAGATAGACGTAGAACATTGTAGGTCTAGTGTCGAAGCAGAGCAGAGAGATAGAACATCGTAGGTTGTATGATTCTCTATTCTAGAACAAAAGTGACAACATGTAAAAAATAAGGTCCATCTTCCTGCTGTAGGTCTCACTAGGTGAGACTGTCTGGGTTCCATGTGCACCTATAATAAGCATGCTCAGACAAACATACATTCCATGCAGTAGTTATGTGGTGAGCAGTGTCTAGTATGCATCCTTTTCCACCCAAACCAGCCACACATGGTCTAGGTGGATAATTCATAGTAATAAAATGTTCTGTGGAGGTTAGGTTCTACTTAAAGGGCACACTTGTTCTCATAAGCTGTCTATGTTCTCAGTCATTTAGTTCTAAGTACTTTTCTGTTCCCTGTTGTGTTGTATTATTTAAAAAAATAACAAAAAGTGAAATCTCCTGAACTTTATTTGATATAAATGAGAAGCATGTTAAAGACAACACAAGTTACAGCGTGAACGGTTGTGTCAGTAGTAGACACTGAGTAAATCTACACATGATTGTGTTCACTGTTGCTGGAACACAGCCGGAATTTTAGTCTGGAACTCGAAAGCGCTAAGATTAAAAGCCGGCCCAATAGAAAAATAAAAGCTCGGCACGGGCAGCATTTCAAGACATTTTTGTTTTTATAGCTGCGTTGGGCTGAACTCAGGATACAGTAGGGACTTATTATAGACTAATTATACAATGTCATCTTGGTATACATTGGCAGTAAATGCATCAGTTGTAATCACATGCTTCTTAGCTACAAAGAGAGATCAGAAGTCGAAGCTAGCTGAAAATTGTAGACTCTCTACTTTGAGCCGCGCACTTCGCCCAATGTCCGAGTCCTCTTTGAACTAAAAAGGCAGAACCTTAGCTCTGGTTTCTCTGTGCTCACCCTCTGTTTTCTGCCAACACAGCAGGGCATGTCAGATTGAACCAAACATTTTGGGCTACAGTCCCAGTCAGAAACATGAACAAGGGGTTGTGACATTTTATGCCAAACAACTGACAAAAACACTCAACCAGCTACTAACCAACTTTCCACAAGCCGTTTGTCCTGACAAGGTTTAAAATACAAAAATATGATTGGATCTGATAAAATACTGTACTGTGCTTTTTTTTTTTTTTTGCATCAGTTTGGAATGTCAGTTATGATCTGTCTAATATCCAAAAAAGTTATTTTGTTCAGTAAAGTATCTAAACCTGGAAGATTCTATTTTTCATTTCTGTATTCACAAATATCGAGTTCTGATACCAATACTTCATTACCTTTGTTCTCAATAACTATGCAGTGGAGTGGAAGGAAGTATCATACTGTATAGGGTTATGACTCTGTGGGCAATGGGATGACGTGCAGCGTGTAGTTGCAAGCTCAACCCAAACCACAGTGCGGACTCCAAGCAGGAAAATGCTTACAGCCAGTTTTATGTTCTTCTCATTAACAGAAGGCATTTCCAGCCAAAAGGAAACAAACCGTCCTTCAAACTGACACCGTCGTCACAAATATAAACTTATGTGGAAAATAAGAAAGATAACGACATTTAAACCTTCTGCATAGTTACCATAGCAGGCTGTGCAGAAAGTGAGCAGAGCTTTTACACCTAATGCCCCTTTGAATTAAAACACTGCTTCAGGCTTTCCAGTGAACAAAGCAGTGATGAATGCAGTGATTGAACTCGTAGATACGTGCTTTTAATCGTGAATAAAGTAGTCAATGCAGTGATTGAACTCGTAGATACGTGGTTTTAAAGTAGTCGATTTTCTCAGTGCAGCACTGATGATTTTTTAAAGCTGCATCCACATGTGGAGGTTGACACGTGTCCAAGAGTAAATAAACATTAACGACTTGAACGACCTGTAGAAATTAGACCACAAGTAAAAATGTGAAGCTGGGACTGGAATCTGAAGCAGCTGACCAAACACATAATAACACCGCTTCCTTTTATAAGCAAAGTTACTCAGCCACCTATTATTTCCTTGAAATACTTTAATCACTCTCACATTACCTTGGATTTACACTTTGGCTAAAACTTTGACTACAATATTAGTAAATAAGGGTAAATATGTCTTCATGCAGTTTGACAGCAGCTGCCACCACTCTGTCGAACTCATCGCTCGTCTGTACATGGAAAGTTAAAGCGAGGGCTCCAGTCTATATAGCTACCACCTGTGCTTCCATTCATTGTTCCAGTGGTTAATTATGTTCAGCCTCCGTAGACCCAAAAACATCTCAAAGCTTGTCAAGGAATCGTCCAGAATCTGGAAAACATTTCCTGCCTTTTTTTATATATCAGTCATTACTACATGAAGGGGTCGTTTGGGTTTTCTGTCAAATCTGCCTTTTCGTGGAAAGAAAAAGCACAGCATGGGCCACGTAGTGGCAAAGTGACTGGTGGTTTTGCCTTACATCTAGTTTGAACTCTAGTGGAAGTCTGTGTGGATGATATGGTAGATAAGATAAATAAACATATTCAGTTTTACATAAAGGGATTTTATGACACATTTGCAATACCTTTACAGACCCTCTAGGGGTCTTGAAGTTGACGAACTGAAAATGTATTGCAAGACATATAATATTTTTTGCATGTTTACAATTTATAATCACCAATTTGTAATAAGTAATTACTTACTTGTCACCAAACCCAGTCATGATGAGAGCAGACTGTTCATGTTTTCAAGTCAAACTGAAATTCATTTGTTCTCCACTCTGCAGTAGCTCCCACCCACCTTGAAAGGGTCTGCTCTGGCTCCCACCCACCTTGAAAGGGTCTGCCGCCCCCCAACTTTGGGAACCACCGAGTTCAGATATGTCAACTTTATATTATATTGTGTTAAAAGGCAGATTGTTGTGAGGGAATGAGGGACGTCTCCAAAGATTGGGTTTAAAGTCTTCAAAGATACTTTTCCACCAGGATGCACTCCAAAGATGCACTACTGAGCACCACAGAGACATAGACTTGTCAACTCCTCCCTTGCACTTTTATTAACACTTTTATGTGTTGAAATACTCTGAAGTTTATCTGTGCATATTTTTGGTCAATCTGTGCAATATTTGTTCATTGTTTTCCAATATTCTGATCACTATTTTCCCATTGATACTGTTACATTAGTGAATTTATTAGTGAAATAGTTTTGGTCAATGTTTGCCAATTTCTAATTTACCTTTAAATATTTAAATGCATCGATTGTTTCATTAATTGTATTTATGATTACATCTTATTCAGACCATTTTCCCCCCTAATTATTTCTTTGTATTTCATGCACTTCATATAAATACCTCTTGCTCTTCATTGAATGTCCCCATAGGAGCAGCTGCTGTCAATACTTTTTCTCTCTAACATTGACTCTACTTTGCTACTTTAGTCCTGCTGGGATGTAGTGATGCTGCACTTGATTCTGCTCAGATGTCCTCTGACACCGGGGGCGGGTCTTGACACAACTTTCCCCAACTGTTATTTGATGAGCAGAGGATTCTCCAGTGGCAAGATCCCGTCTCTCTTTATATTCACTTTTGCGGCGTTTGTCCAGCCTCCTGACGGCGCACACTCTGCAGCAGAGTGCTGTGCGCTTCTCCCCCACCTCCCCCCTCCTCCTCCTTCATGAGATCCTTTCACCATCAGTCTGAGCACTGGGCTTGAGGGAAAGGGGATCTGAAGGGCCCGGTCTGGCTGTGAGAGGCATCTTTTCACTTTCTCACATGGCGCTGTAGTATAAGCGCATTCTTTGTGGATCGTGGAAGAGTGTGGACAGATTTACACTTTAAAGCCGCCCGGGTTCTGAACAACAGCGGGCTCTTAACCATGGAGATGCCAAGGTGGACAACCAGGTGGAAAACGAAAAGGTTTATGTGGGATTCAACGCTATCCGTATTGGTGTCCATCATTATAGTTCTGCAAGCTGCCGACGTGAGAGCAGGTAAGAGGAGGCATGTCGCTGCAGAACCTGCGTCCCTCAGCCCACCTCGGGGCATCCTACACACAGGAGAGCCCCCCAGTAACCTGGCACACAGCCATGGAGGTGTTAGCGGCTGATGACGAGCTGTCAGTTTTATTAGCAGTTAATGCCGGACAGAAGCTGCTCGTCTACTGCAGGGGTCTGCAACTTTCAACAACCTTAAAATGCTTTTTTGAAAAAAAACAAAAAAACATTCATGCACAAAGTGCTGAAAAAATATTTCATTTTAAATTATAGCACTACCACAGTACATGAAGTTTTAAGTAGCTGTAGACAAGCTGCTAACTAACAAATGATTGTTTTTTTGTTTTTTTGCCAGTACAGAAACAGTTTTTCTATTTTACTTCTTTTTAACACTGACCTGAAGTTACTACGCTGACTATACCTGCACAACTGCTGGTAACTTCACACCTTGATCTTAAATTAAAGAAGACAGTGACAGAATGTTGTTTTTTTTAAAAAAAAAAAAAAAAGTTACCTGACATGTAAACTACGTTCCAAGTACATTTTTACAAATTCTGTACCAAAGTCTCGTCAGCACTATGTGACAGTTGCTCACAAATTAGTGTCTGCAGAGTCAGTGCCATATATAAACTATAAATCTCTTTGTTTTTAATTGGTCCATTAGAAAATATTAGTATCATCACACAAGAAGCCAAGATGTAGGCACTAAAGAGCCACATTTGGCCCAGTAGCCATATGTTGCAGACGTCTGATCTAAGCCAACTTCACTCAGCCAGCATATAGACTTTTAAATGCCTATTAGACTTTATGGTCTCCATCCAACATCCTGCTTGAGGCACTAAAGGGAGTAGATGACTTTTACATATTTGACGGGTCGACTCTGTGTCACCTTAACATCACACGACCGCGTGATTGTGTTTTGATAAAGAAAGTCACCTGAAACATTTAAATCTGTTGATTTTAGTATCATAAACTTCTGTAGAGTTTTTCTAAGTTTCCCAGGATTGTATAGAGTAGTTCACAGATGTGTGGAAAATACAAGTATAACATGAGGTGTTTTTATGTTTACCTGTGCATATGAGAAGTGAGTTAAGGTGGTTAGCTTTAGTAGAAGGTCACAGATATGTATTTAATCACGTCTGAATACTGTACTGGCCGACCAGCAGTGAGAAAGTGATTAAAATGTGTTTTTGTCTGATGGACTGCGGCTGCTCTTGTTGCTGTCACTGACAGAATTTAACAATTAGAGTATTGTAAAAGTTTTGTGGTGGGGGTTTGAATATGTGAAAAGAGTCTGGGCACAATATGGTGTGATTCTGGGAGCACAATTCACATTTTTCCCTAAAGACACTCCATCTTTCCACATTATTTGGATTTCCACTCAGTCCAAGAACGGTTGTTGATGGAAAAAAAGGGGGAAAAAAGGAAGGAGTATTTTCTCTGCTTGAATAGACATATGTGGGTCATTTTAACTATTTCTGTTATGCTTCCTTTTTCAACTCTGCATTAGAATAAAATGCTAAACACAATTACTTGTTAATTCTGTTTAGCATTCAAATTCATTACCTAAAGTTTGGAGTTGTTCAGTAATTGTTTTTTGTCATTTTACTAATTTTTTTATTCCTTGGGTTTTGTGTAATGACTCCTTACCTTTGACACCAACCAGCTGGTCATTGATAGTGTAGTGTATGAGGTGCATGGCATCCTGTCTAGACATTTCCTGATTAGATCACTTCCTGACCCTGGTCTCATCTTCTATTGTCCTCCAGTCACTCCACACACGGGGAACTCATTTGGCTGGATGAATAATGGATTATGAGCTCCCTAAAGATGAAACGATCATTATGCCACAGTTGCATGGTTTGCCCATTGCCCATCTTTCTTCACTCTGACTGATATTTAAGCTAACCATAATTGCATGATATGCTAGCAAACATTTACAGGCTTTCCAGTGTAGTTTAATTGCTGCCTTTGCTGCCAGTTCTCAGTAGATGGCAGTGATGCAAAAAAAAAGACCACCGAGACATCCCAAGATGCTGCTGCATCACAGCCGCACAGCCACACACACATTAAGTCAGAATGTCACAGATTTAAGCATCAATCACACCAGATCTGTGCTGAAACATCAAACTGTGTGACTCTGGTGATTTACAAGATGGACAGGGCAGTAAATTTTGCCCATCAAGATGGGACTGGTTGTTTAATGTGTGAAGGTCTGCTGGTCTTAGTGCTCCGATGATGTTAAGAGAGATTTCTCATGTCACTGCTTGCTTTGATGCCTCGGGAGAAATCACTTGTCTTTGTCGTGTAAGTAGCTGCTTGTTAACAGGGCAGATAGTACATCACAGGCTCAAACAGCAGTCGGGAAGATGTGTCATTAAAAAATTGGAGAGACCAAGAAATTATCCCTCAGACAAGACTGCGGAGAGTCTGGAACAGCTCTGGTACCTTCATCACGACAGAACTATCTTGTCTCTCTCATGTGGTTTCCATCCTTATCATTAGAATATGGTTTCTTTCTTCTGTCGGCTGGAATGAGATGAGTCCTTTTTTTTTTCTCAGGGTGTCTCACACTCCTGAGAAACCAAGGTTTGAAAAAAGCTCTACCTACTCATTATGGAGTCTTGAAATAATTTTGGATTTTTGCCTCTTTTCCATAGCTTCTGTGAGGCGATCGTGAAAGGAGAGGGAGGCGAGTAGGTGGGCAGGTGTGTGTCAGAGGGAGTTGCGAGGGAGTTCGGTCCAGGCCAATTCAGCACATCTGGAATGTATGAGGCCTTGAGCTATGCAGTAATGCAGAAGGCCTTTCTGAAACTCACAAAGAGACCCTTAGTCCGAGCTTTTTTTAAGAACCAGTAGCTCTCTGCCCAGGACAATATTCTCAAGAGCCGCAGACTGGGTTCTATTATTTGACTATTTGCCTGTGCAATTTGTATTTTATTTTGTCTGTGCTAGTCAACAATTAGTCTGTGAGCATTAAAAATAAAACGAAAGAATTTTACTCCAAAAAAAAATTGAAAAACTGAATATCTTTTCATTTTATTCAAAATCCCTACTGGGTTACTTGTATTAAACTTATTGATGAGGATTAATTGAGAATATTATGACGTTAGAGTGTTTGGACTTTTATTGATAAAAATGATTCCATTCCATTAGGTTAATGAGCAAACTTAATACTTAAAAAAACAAGCTTGGGACAAAAGCCCTTGAGCATGTGTTTGAACCAGACAGGCTTGATTCACCGCTCAGGCAGTTATTTTTCTGGTCATAGGAGAGGTAGCTACAGGGATGGGGCCTTTCAGTTTAGTCTCATGTATGTTTAGTTAGAGGGTGGGGGCGGGGAGTGATGCCAGGGCCATAATGGGTTCAGCATGTGGGCTTGTCGCTCCACCCATCAACCCCAACCCCCTTTTTTCGGTCACTAAAAGTGAACAGGAACCGCACAATCAGCATTTCATGGCCCGACGTGCCACATGACTTCCCAATATGGAAATTCAAAAGGTGGTATATTTTTATGGAATTATTTTAGTTTTTATTTGAAAGTAATGTAGGACAAACAACATATGGTTCTTCACTTTATGGTGCTCCACTCCTTTACGTTTCCTCTTAAATGTTTAATGTCAAACCAGCGCTGTGTCTGTGTCTCCTGTGGTTTTTGTCTCTTCACCTAAAATATTTTTCTCAGCGTCGTCCTGCTGCTATCATGCACATGAATCCAGCCTTGGAGGAAATTGGCATTAAGCATCTTATCTCCCATTCCTTTCAGGCCTTATCAAACCAATGGAATTTTAAGTTGACCATTAAGGCGTTGTTTCTGCTCTTGAGGTTTTTAAAGGGACATCCCTACTCTTGACTCACTGAAAAAAAAAACATTATTTTGCCTCAACATCAACCTCTAGGTTTGTAGTCTCCGAAAATGACTTTCATTTTACAGTATTACCCAATTCTTTTTTATGTCTCTAAATAACAGGGCTCATTGATAGCAAATAAGTTTTATTAATAAATCTTATCTTTAGAGAAGATAAAAATACGATTTATTAATAAAACCTATTATTATCTATTGTTGCAGATTAATATATCTATCGTTGCAGATAACATTAGTCATTTCTAATATAAATTACGTTTTTATGTAAAGCAAAGTGTATAAAAAATCAGTTGAAGTCAAAAAAAGTTCATCATTTTATTCAGGAATTCCTTTTCCCTTTTTGTATAATCCTTTTCAAATATTTTGAATACAAAAAAATGTAACTATTGCATGTATACATATATAAAGTATTTAGAAAAATACAATCATACAAAACAGAAACATTTACAGTTTATCACTGAAGCCACTCTGAAAATCTATTCAACTGGTTTGTATTAATTGACAGGCAGGAACGTAATGAAATATGTGAGAATACTTGGTCAATATGAACCTTGTGTTCATTCTTAAATAATAGGACAATGAAATAAATACACAACTGATTACACAGCTGACCTTCAATATAAAAAATGTTTTAAAATAAATATTTAACCATCATGACAGTGTGCCAGGTTTTATGCACTTAAAAAAAAACCTTAATAACTGAGTCACTTTTTGTGACCAAGGTCAGACAGGTCAGTAATCTAAGAGTCTGAGTCAAAGGGTTACAGAAGTGAAGATGACTTGGTGAAAGCTATACTTTTCTTATAGGCAGTTCTGTATGTTTAGTTCCTATTATATCTACATACACACTCGAATGACTTAATTAAAGGACAGCTATAGGCTAACAGATGTGCCTGGAATCATAAATGACAGTGCACGTCAACACTGCCACTCATGCAGTAGTTTCCAAACATTCTGTATTAGACTGTGAGTATTCCCTGTAATCACTTTACAGTTAATGAGATGCCTCAGGGCAGGGCAGAGGTGGGGCAAAACCAATGGAGGCTGAATTAGATGACAGATGTTAAAAATGAACTTCAGACGTCTGTGCAGCAATGGTATTTTCAGACAACAGACAGTAGCTTGACTCATTAGGTACAACGATGCTGGATGGATGAACGATGCTGGATGGATGAACGATGCTGGATGGATGCCTCAGTTTGAACACCAGCTTTTGACTGATCAATACTGTAGCAGTGGGGTTTTTTAATAACGCAGATGCCGTTCCCTTTAGCTTTAGGCTAAAGGTGGGGGTGAGAAGTGGGGCAGTCGTGCATGCTGAATCATTTCTAACATTTTTACTGCTCTGCCCAGGTAGCTAATAAACTGCTGGAACTGACAGGTTTACCTAACGGTTGCCAAAGGAGTGTAGTGAGTGCAAATGTTTACATATCATTAACATGTCAGGTCCTATTAAAGTTTAGATGAACTGTTAAAATCACTGTAAAATTATGAACAGCTTTAACATGTACCTTATATAAAACAGGTAGTAAAACGCGTGTTCTTCCTCAATCACATACATCATCCTTAAAGGTCGCACGCAACAGGCTTCACTGAGCCATTCTTTATTCACACATTCTGTCTGAAGCAAAAGTATTCTTAAGTTTGTATCAATTTAAAAAAAGTTATTTCTCTAGACATCTGCCATTCACTTCTTTTTGTGTCATTGTGTTTTAATCAGTGAATATATTTTTGTAAAATCCCTAAGGATGTGTTTGGCAAAAGATTACAACTTGCTCATTTGCCTCATCCAAGGCAGTAGTTCCCAGTAGTGGCGGGTGGGTCCCACCATGGGTCCCACCACGAGGCTCAGAGCACTGATTTTTGTAGGAATTAGAGTGTTGTGTCAATGTGGAAGGCTAAACACTGGCCCTATTTTTAAGCGGGCGCTGCAGACAATATTAAGGAACCCACTGTTTTAAGGACTAAAAAAAAAACGCGTGAAAGCTAAGACATCTCTAAACATGTTTTTACTAATACAATCTGAAATCTTTCAAAATACTCTCTTTGTACTTTTTGACTTACCCTAGTACTTGTGTGTGTACTGTAATAGATGGAAAGTGACACAGTTTCAGGTTTGGAGTAGATCGGATGCCAGGCAGTCTCTTTGTGCACCAAATTGTGTTTGTGAAACATTTAACTCTTGTGTGTTTTTCACAATGGCACTCTTTGTGTTTGGATGATTTCACATTTTCCTTCCTCTGCCTCCACAGCTGAACCAGTGGATGTACTGAAGGTGTTAGACTTCCAGAGATCTCCTGAAGGGATTCAGAAAACAACTGGTTTCTGTGCAGCCCGTCGAGGAGCCAAACCTAATGTAGCGTACAGAGTCGGCAAACAGGCCCAGATGAGTGTTCCAACCAAGCAGCTCTTCCCAGGTAGAGTCCTCACAGTTTCTATTATTTTTATATTCATTGATACCATATTTAAAGTTTGAGAAAGTGAAAGGACTTAGTTTTTTCATTAAAGAGTCAGTAGCTCCATTTGAAACTTTTGGTAATTGTACTATAAGATCAATAATAGTAACAGTAATAGTAATAGTAGTACAGAATTCAAACATTGTTGACATAATTTTTAATCAGTTAGGTTTTAAATCTTGCTTTTAGCCTGCTAGCATTTAATTAGCACTGAACACACACTCTGTCCCTACTATGAAGGAATATCTTTTGCAGCATTACAGTCACTTGCTCATAAAACCTAGTATTGTTTGGTGTTCAGAGAATACACAATGAGGAAAAAAGACAAACTAACTGTGCAATAGATTGTATACAAATGCCTGGTGTTGTCTCTGGGGCTGGAAGTTGAAGCAAATAGGAAATTGCTGAAACCTGTTTTTGCTAAAATGGCCTTCAAGGGGTGACTCCACTTGGTGCAAAAACATCTGTTTTACTGTAGGTCTGTAGAAAAATAGATCCCACTTCTTATGTGATTTATAATGTCTGTAAACCTTTTCCTGATGGTTTATGGTCTCAATCACTGTTTTCTGTTCCAATTCAATACATGTCAATTTGGTAAATTAGAATTTGGAATTTTTTTTTTAGAACTTAGATTGAAAAGGGTGATGATGCTGCCTACGTGCAGTGGAATGGGAATGCTGTGACTGACAGAAGACGTCATATAGAGCAGGATCTGCCAGTCTTCAATAAGATCCAGCCTCATCCAAATATGGTCTCTTTTGGTTCCAAAACAGACCAGGGAAGATTAACCAGAAGGCAAAATTTCAACATGATGGCAGATCAGAAACCAGTGGATGATGTCACACTAGTTACCATTTGGGTTGTCAGAGTATTGCAGACATGCATTCAGTAATGGTCCAGACATCTGAGCCTAGACCAGGATTTTAAACTCTTTTTTTTATTATTTTCTTTTTAACCACGGCCACGTCAGCCCTCACAGAGCTGCAACTGGAGGACAGTTTAAGTGTAGCCACTTTATAATGTATGAATAAACAAAATAGGATGTAACACAAACAAGAAAATGTGAGGCACTAACAGTGCATGTTGCACTTAAAGGTGGCGCCACTAATATATGAGAAGTGGTTTGGTCACGTCATTAAATACCAGTGTCCTCTCCGTTTTATAAAGCAATAAAAAATGATTGTGATTCTGCCTGTGCTACAAACACCTGCATTTAAAAACATGCTCCACCAGCATCAGAATCTTTTAATTGTGTTTTTTTTTTGTGCTGGTTCTGGTTAAGATTTCTAAGGCTAACCTCTGAAGCAGGTTAACACAGAAGCAGCTTGAAACAGTCATGGTTTAATATGATTAAGTGGTTAATAAATTAGAAGTTAGAAAATGTATTTCTAATTCTTTGTTGTTATAACACAACATTTCCTGAAAATGTATTTACTGTTATATGAAAGAAGTGAAGTGTTCCATGAAAATCCATAAAGCTAAAACAGTAGATACATTTAGCCTTGAAAAAGAACAATATTGTGAGAAACGGATCGTCAAATCGTAACAGTATCTGTCAAAGATCAAGCCTGGAGTCCAGTAAACAACACAATTTATATTTACGTGTTTTTTTCCCCCAGATCATCGTAATGTAAAGAATGTCAGTGAGTCGGGATCTGTGACAATTCTCACACAATGGCTGTTCAAACAGATGTAAATGACAAGACTGTGGCTTTCCTTCCATGTTCTCATGTGCATCTCATGTTGTATTAGTTAGTCAGAGAACACCACTGTGAAACCTCAGACAAACATGTGCACTCACCCGCACTCTTTCAACTACACGTCTACTGGTTTTCACCAACATCTTGTGTTTGCCTGCTGCTTGTTTGACCTTCAGGGGGAGTTTTCCCAGAAGATTTCTCAATCATGTTTACCATCAAACCCAAGGCTGGTCTCCAGTCCTTTCTGCTGTCTGTCTACAACAAGCAAGGCATCCAGCAGCTCGGGGTGGAGGTGGGTCGTGCCCCAGTCTTCCTGTACGAGGACCAGCATGGCAAACCTGCACCAGAGGAATACCCTTTGTTCCGCGCCGTCAACCTGGCTGATGGAAAGTAAGTGTCTGGTCGTATCAGGACACGGTGACTTTGACGTGGGTGGTTTTTTTTTTTTTTTTTTGGTTTTTTTTTGGTTTTTTTCTTTTTTTTGTCTTTTTTTGTAACAA